GTTGACCTACCTTATCGAGTTTTTATTTGGCATTCAGAAACAAATGAAGACCTTTGTTGAAGCATAGCATTATATTGCTTGTGCAGAAACATAATTCTGCTGGTACAGGATACACTTGCAGCTCTTATCAAAATTCGGAAAGAAGACATCAGTCCTTTAAATTTACTTCTTCTTTTGGTTTAGGTTGGAATTTGGATGAGAATTCCCCTAAAGTTTATCTATTAATCATTACAAATTTTTCACTCTTTACAGACAGGTTTTAAAGCAAAAGATCAAAAGACAGTTTTCAAACCAGCAATGGTTGGTTTTTAAAATGCAAACTTTTTTAGCCCTATTTCAGTTAATAAAGAGTTTTACTGATTTCAATGCAAACAAATCAATACTTGGCTGACATCAGAATTCAATAAATAAATATATTAAATCAAATATGATAAGTTAAAATTCAGATACTCAGTTCGTGTCTGTCCTCACTGGGTTATAATCATTGAAGCTGCAGGTGAAATCTGGCACAAACACCAGTTACACTTATATTCATATGCCCTCATAAGTGACATTATATTTATTTGGATACATTTAGTCTTCTGCATTAATTGTCAAACAGTGGGAATTGATTATTGTTAAATATTATCATTTATTATTCGTTGTAGTAACCTGAAATTATTAATATCATTCTTATTATAGTTTAATGCATCACATTACGCTATTATTTTGAGTTGTTTATAAGTGTGAAAATTTAGGTATGTTGTATTGCTTTACCACAGTAACTACTGACACCATCTGTGATTGCATGAAAGTAACAGGACTCTTTGCATAACCTGTTTTGATTAATGTTATATGTTAAACCAACTAACCTCACTTTTCAGCATTATTAAATCTTAAATAGTTTTTTTTACTAACATAAGAGTACAACAGTTGCACTACTGACATATGATTAGATAATAGCTTAGCGAATGAGACAAATCTCTGTTGGCTTCTAAGGGAGAATTGATGGGCATGTCAGTGCTTATATTTGTGCCCCTAAAAATGCTGAGATGGTGAAATCTTCACATGGATGTAGAAAACTATAGGCCAGTGGCTCAGTATAAGAGAGTTTGTTAGGAGGGCCTCACTATATGTAGTACATGGAGGGACTGAAATAAGAGTTTACTGTTTGGGCATAGTAGAAATTCTTTTTAAAACGACTTAATAAAAGTGAGGTAAACCTAAAAGATGAAGTTAGATGTCCTTTAAAAAGTATTCATTTATTGTTCTGGTAAAGAAAAATGTGGCAGCGCGAACATTTGCCTCCAGCCCAGTCAATGCATGCTGCCTCCAAAGATCAGAGTTTGGAACAAAGCACAACGTATAGTCCATTATCCATCCCACCACAGAGAATGTTAAAGGTGCACTGAATTAGACAGTAGTTCAGGAACAGGCAGGTTTGGAGTGGCTGACAGGGTTCAGTAGTGGTTGACCGTTGACCATTGACTCAGTTGTTCAGTGAAATATATAGCTATCCATGTTCATATTTTTTTTTTTAAGCTGGTTACAAATGTTGCTTCAGGGATATCTTGTAAAACATAGCTTGATTTTCATATATTTCAAATTAAACTTGCATATAACCCAACATCTCTCTGTTTTCATATAACGCATGTAATATCGCTTTGCATAGACCACATACGTAACATAAGCCTCATCTATTTGTGATTCTTCTGGGGGGACAAGATGATGGGAAAGGTAGTAAGTGCTATTTGGCTTAATTTATTACCATGCCATGCCCCATAGCAACCAAAATAGTTTTTTTCCCTTGTATTAATCAAAATATTGGAAGATGGTTGCTATGGATTACTGTACTTTGTCATTGCCTTTTACGCTATGAATGAAGCCTGTGTAAGTAATCCATCCAGATTCAGCACACTGTGAGCATACAGACAGCTGAATGCCTAGAACAGAAACTAGCTTCTGTTTTAATAACACTGTAACAGGCAAACAAAAGCAATGACAAAGAATTAAATGTTCCCTTGTCTTGTATTAGTTAGCCTGGTAATTCTGCTTAAAATAGTGTGTGTCCTACATTAAAAAGGGTGCATTTTCTTCCCACTAGAGAGCCTTGCTCAGATTCCTTCACTGTTGGCAGCTGTAGTGACTCAGAAGAAGCTTCCATCTTGTAGCTTTAGGTTGGTTACATTTTTTTTTGTTTTGTTTTGTTTTGTTTTATTAGATTTCATGCGCAGGCACATTTTAAAGAACCTCTAATTGTTAAGTGCAAGTTGGTTTATGTAGAAGAGCATGTATTAACATTCGCAGATCTGTAAACAAAAGATTCAGGAACATATTACAAGGAACACATCTAAAATAAGGGTGGTCCATTGGGGATCCCCAATTCCCAACAAAGAGCTAACTTCCTGACCTGTAATTTTCCAATAAGCCCATACACAAATTCTGCAGTTAGATTAACATTGCAGGTAACTTGGACCAGTGCATTTAAATTATATGTGCAATTTAATGTCATGTTACTGTTAAAACCAGTTCTAAAAGCTGGCAATACACCCATAGATTTCTTTTCTTCAGCCTGCAGGCTGAACAGAAAAAATATAACAGATTCCTCCACCTATGCTACACAGCATAGATAGATGAATCTGCCACCGTGGCTCTTGTAATCTATCTGAAATGAGTAGAATTGAATTGGATGCAGGCTTTGTTCAGTCAGTTTCTATTTTTCAATTGACAGACTGAAACTCCATCAGTGTATGGGTGGCCAGCATGCAAAATTTACGAAGTCTACAACTGTATGGGCTTGTACACAGGCTTTGCTCTCCTGCATTTGAAACACGTTTGATTCTGATTGGCTCTATTGGAGTACTGTCAATGACCGTTCAGATGCTGTTTTTGACCTGTGTTGCATTTTCCTCAAACACAGCTTGTTCCATTGATGTGCATTTGGATTCCAAGCAAGTTAAATTCATCCTTTTTATGTCAAACGCTAGAAAAGGCCCTTCTACATGAGCCCTGTTTGAAAAGAGCAAAGTTATTACAAGATGTCATGGCCAACTACTATGTGAACCATACAGTGCCATTCTAAAACTCTGATTAGTAATGTGTTATATTCTTTCCTAGTAATCCCACAAAGTTGCCCCGCTATGTACAGTACACAAACATTTTATCCCAAAATATTTTCTGCTTTATAAAATTGGTATGCCAACTTAGTTCCGAACTGTGTCTCTGCAGTTAGATTGTGCACTGTCTGCCATAATAGACACGCCATTGCAGTAAACCTTATGGAGCCTGCCCAGGGTGGTATTTATAATTGGGCACAGTAGACCTGTCCTTATAGGTTTGCCCCACCATCAGTAGAAATACAATGGTCTCAGACAGGCTTATGTACACATTGTTACAATAACCTAAGCCCAAAAAAAAATAATAAAAAATACTTTGCAACACTAGTGATGTTTGCAAAGCAATTTAGATGTCAAAGATTGTGATCCAGAGCCAGTTGACCAGAGCCCAGTCCGGTCATTCTCAATTGTAAGGTTTGATCTAAATGGCAGATGTGATGTGTATGTGTGTATATACGCTACTCAGTGATATATCATATGCAGTATATTCTTGAATATCTGTCTAATGATTATATACGGAAAAATTCTGCACTCAGGAAAATGACCATGCACATGTTTATGGTGTTGCATTAAAGCATCTGTGTTTACCCGAGTACAGCCACGCACAGCCATTCACTTCTCTGGCCATCTCTATGCTCCACCTGTGGCTCCCCAGGCACAGAACAACACCATTATGCTAGGAATATTTTTATGACTCGTGTCCAAATATGCAGATTAGGAGTTGTGACCTCAGAGTAAAGTCTGAACTGCATACGTGGTCCAAATTATGGACTCAGAACGTACTAAGGCAAATCATTTAGCATAACCATTTTCAAAGGGAGATGTTTCAATAGCTGCCTCCATACTTCTTAAATAAAGGTTTCCTTAAAGAATTGTCTTAAAACTTGTGCAGCCTATTACCTTGAGTCGTGACACAGTGAGGTGTCCTTACACACTGCTTAATTGGAAATCTTAGAAATCACAGTATTAGACTCTTACTATAACAATGCAGACTTGACCTACCCACACTTAAGGAGGCTTTTGATAACAGTACTGTATATCATTAAATAACCCACTCAAGTGTTTTACACTTAATATCCTGTAGTTCCCAGAACTGGCTGGCAGAAATAATTACTTTATTGTAAGGGAATCCTATCTAAATAAAATAGGTCTTTCTGGGAAAGAATAGGTGGATGAGATGTTAAAATAAACTGCTCTCACTGCCAGAAAATCTCAGAGAAGATTTGGAATTCCCAAAATAGTAAAATACTATTCCTGTACTGCTCCTTCATATTTATTTGCAATGCAAGCAATAGAAAATAGTGTCTTCCTCTGTCAGGATGAAAGGGGTAGTTAATGTTCCTTCCTTATCCTCATGTGTATGACTCCCAAGGGAATGGCTATTGTCAAAGAGTATAGCTAAGGCTGGGTAGAATGTGAGTACACTTATGAACACTCAGACAGCGCATCTTTACAAGATGTTAGGCTTAGAACAATTGCCGGAGAGACTGGCTTCCTTCTGTGGTTGATAAGCTTTCAGTTACTGCCTATATATCTAACTTACAGAAAACCTGAGAGCACAAAAGTCGTAACGTTGATTTCTCTAAATGTAACCAAATCAAGATAACAAGGCAATAAAACAATGATGTTACTAATTTTGGCTTAGGAGGGTCCACTGACAAATCAATATCCTGATGATCCTGGCTTTTCAGTTAAATATTTTCTTTTACTTAAAAAAATGGCCTACTTTACAAATATAAAAAACGTATCTGCAATTTGTACACCAAGATTACATTTGGTCTTGTTGTGACCAAACCCCTACTGTAGAAATGTAAAATGAAAAATGGATATCATATTGCAGTAGGTTAAATATGTAATTGCATATGAATACTTTATATTTTCATGTTCTACCATCAGGTGGGTCCT